ACAAAGGAGGGGTTTACAAGGAAAACACTAATACACACAGTACAGAGAAATGCCGTTGTACTAAATAGAAAGATCACGGAGTGGGGAAAAAAAAAAATCTATGGTTACACAGAGCAATTAGCCAAGTTAAAAGCAATACACACAAACCCTTAAACTGTTATCAAAGTCATGCCCTTTGGCTTCACAACACAGCTTCCTTATCAGGGACAGGAAAGGAGCAGATCCTCTCATTCAGCTACTCTAGAAGCCAAAAATAACAGGCCCACTTCTGCCAAATCTTACTCACAAGTAATCCCATCAGTTTCTCACAAGTGAGTAGTGACTTAAACCAATTACTTGGGTCATGTGCCGTTTCCCAGGGTTTTAATTCATTTTCCAGTAGCAAAATGCCCTATGCCCCTGCCAAAAATCAAGGCTTCTTTGTGCTGGTCACTGCACACAATCACAGAATAAAATACAGTCTCTGCTACAAAGAGCTTGTAATCTAAAAATAAAAAGGGCAAGTGGGTAGAGCATAGACTGGGAGTCAGAAGACCTAGGTTCTGTTCTTAGCTTTGCAATTGATCTGCTGGCTGACCTTGGGGCAACTCACTTCACCTCTCTGTGCTTTTGTTCCTCCTCCGAAACGCTGTCTTTTCTAATCAGATTGCAAACCGAGTACTAACTAGTCTATATTTCAAAAGCCTTGACATTAACCCAGGTATGTCGTTGTCCATGGAAATTCTCAGAATGTGCATGTTGCGTGCTCTTCTTTTCCACCTATCCATCCACCAGGAAGTGGTCCTCAGACAATGTTTTTTGCCCAGTAGGACGGTTTCTTTGCTTTCTGCACTGTCTATTTTCTGGGCTAAGGAATTAGTTTTGTGCCAAAGGCTTCTCAGTTCCAGTGGTGCAGCCATTCATGGAGGAGAGCTTTGTCCTTTTATAGCCTCGATCTTCTTCTCTGCCACCACTGAGCAAGCAGTCACTTCTTTAAGTGGATCCTCCAGATCAGAAAGATCTTTTCTAATCTGGCATCCACAAGGTTTCCTCATAACATGAAGAGGACCAAGAGCAGGAGAAGCAGTGGGGATTCTGCATTCAGAAAAAGACACTGCTATGCAAGGGCTATAACCAGATATTGGGATCAAGTCCAATGACTCCAGCACGGCTTCATCTTTAGCCATCCTTCTCCCAGCCAGGCAGCATTTGTCTGTAGTCCTCAGAAGGATATAGCCCAAAAATGTAGATCGCATTTAATTAAACCAGAAGGGATTTCTCTCTGATTGACCCAGCCCTAAGAAAGAGAGGGAAGGAGAAATGCAGAAGAAAGGAAAGAACCGTATGAAATCTAAGGGGGTAGATATGAGAAAGCAAAAAGAGAAGAAATTATTAAATTTAATTTTGAGGTAGAGAAAAGGTATTTGCTACAACTTAGATATGAAACTCTTCTCAAATTTAGACACCCACAACCACCACGTGACAGGTTGCAGGAAAGAGATCCCCAGACAAAAGGAAAGTACATTAATCCTTCTACTTGGCTTGTTTTACTTTAAACAAAACCTTCCAAACTACCATGTGCTTATACGTATAGTTTGTCTCAGGTGCTTTCAGTTCCAGGATAAAAACCATCAGTTGTAGAAAATGAAGTTTTTTAAAAATTGTCACTGTGACCTCTTAATAGGCTAAAATTGTTATATGCCATGTACACCTAGAACTTAGATTTAAATTTAGGATTCAAGCTCACACACCAGATCAAAACAATAAATTTACATTAGCAACCTCCTCTGGCTTTATCTTTTATAAAAACCCATCTGTACCAGACCCCCCCAAAAAATGTGCTTCGAAGAGTAACAAAGCCAACAAACACAAGCATACTGCAAGAGTTCTTACTTGGTCTGTAATATACCTACAGTATATGCATTAAGTTTTATGTGTAAGTTACATCAATACGGTTTTCATAACAGGCCACTGTGCCATTGCTATAAACTGGATTTAAAAAGCGATATTGCAGGATATGAGTCCATTAGTGGCACTTATTAAGATACCAAAATCAACCAACAGTTACTTTAGCCTAGTAAACGTACAAGATTTTATATTAAAATCACATGTGTTCTTATCCTGCAGTAGTAGTTAATAATAGAAAGGATTATGAAACCAAATCAGCTGGGAACACAAGTATTTGTTCTATGGAAATCAGGTCCCTTGGTGCACATTTGTGTTACTTGGAAGCTGTATCGTAATTCTATCTAGTCTAACAGAGACTGAAATAAAAGGAGAGAGTCACTACTTACCTGTAAGCAGAGTTCCTTAATCTTAAGGGGGGAGGGATAGCTCAGTGGTTTGAGCATTGGCCTGCTAAACCCAGGGATGTAAGTTCAATCCTTGAGGGGGCCACTTAGGGATCTGGGGCAAAATCAGTACTTGGTCCTGCTAGTGAGGGCAGGGGGCTGGACTCGATGACTTTTCAAGGTCCCTTCCAGTTCTAGCAGGAGATAGGGTGGTTGGTGGTGCAGCTACCTCTATATTAGGATCTATGATTTAATAATAACCTTAGAGAATTGTGCAGAGTTTGTAGAAGTTTGCTGATCACCTTGTAGAAGTAGGATTTGATATTTGTATTAGAGGTTATAATGATTGACTGTTATAATAATGTAGTATGTATTAAATGTATTGATGTATGATCTGATCATCCTGTCAGCCACCCTTTTTGAATAGAAAAAAGGAATGACCCTCAGGGACATTGTCAGATGTGTTTCTACCAGACTCCTAGTGTCTGTACTAATGTTAAGGCAGGAACAGACCAGAACAGTCCTTATGGCTGATTATGGTCACACTCTGTTTTACAATAAGTTATAACGTTTACTGTGGGGTCTTGTTTCCTATATGCATTACAAATTAGGCCCTTTAGTTAAATATACATTTCTTTGTTTTAAGGTTTAGTAAGTAAGAGACAGGATCTTGTCTTGTGTCTATGTTAATGAGATTAGAGGCATGTTGAAGGCCCGGTCCCCATTGTGAACTGTTTTGATCACAAGATTTAGTAAGGTTTAATGTACAAATGTCTTTTTTGCTCAACATACAAACAGCAGTGTTTGTGTACCTTTGAAGGTCTCTGTAAAAGACTGTTTGTGTGAATGAGGAGTGTATGCATCAGGAAAAGATAAGGTGTGAAGGACATTGTTAAAGAAGATAGTCAAGGAAGGAGGAGTGAAGAGACTTAAGACACCAGAGAACCATCAACACGCATCCATAATTAAGGAAGGGGAGATTGACGACCCTGTGGTGGAGGCTGGCACCCCTAAAAGACAAGATAATTGATTAAATTGAAACCAGGACAGGATGACCCTCTCGGAGGTGCTTTGGAGTATTAACATCAAAAGATAGCACCAATTAAGGAGTAACCGGTCATAAATGACACAGCAAAATCCATAGACTTCAACGGAGAAAAAGGACTATAAGAACAGGGTGCTTTGCCTTGGAACTTTGGGTTCGTCTTGCCACACTCCAGGAGCATCGGATCACGACCGACAGAGCCCAGCTCCCCTCTGCGATCAATCTGGCTGGCCACTAGATTGATGCAGACTCTGGACTGATAACTATAAACATCAACTGGCAGGAGTGAGTGAGTGTGTGAGAGAGAGAGACAGACACACTGAAGAGCTTATGCTAACTGCTGTATTCTCAATAAATGTGGCGTGTTGCCTTTTTCCCCTATAAAAAGATCTTGTGTGCTTTTTATAAGCATAATAACCTTCGTGCCAACCTGGCTGCCATCAGTAAGCAGAGTTTGGGACCCCACAGCAGATCATTTTCTTTATGATGCAGAGATTCGGAATATTCCCTCCTAATCCATGGTATTTACAGTAGGTACATAAGATATCTTCACCTTGAAGAAAGATGTAAACACCCCCCAAACAAATGAGTAAAGCTATACACCTGGTAATTCAACTTGCAGAACCTCAACCAAGAATACTGGCCAGTGCCTTTCATAGCACGAAGGGTTACAGGCTTCCAGCTAACTTGTTGGTGCTGTGGCCTGGGAACCCTTCAGCCAAAAGCCATACCTTCCCCCCACCACACAGGCTCTCAGTTCTCCATCCTAAATAAACTTTATTCCTGGCCTTCAGACAATTCCAATGAAAACCTACGTTCACTGGAGTCAGCTTGTCTGAGATTCTCCATCCAGAAAAAAGCTTATGTGTAGCCACCCAAGTAACCTTAACTACCAGGCGGGGCATCCCTGCAACAGCCAGCCAAGCCTAATCCCAGCTAATTATAGAACTATACCAGTTTTGTTTTAAAACTAGCCTCCCTTTAACAATACCCCAATCTGTGTTTCCTAAGAAACAAGAATCCCACACCTCCTGCACAACCCTTTTCCAGCCACAAACCCTGCTGTTCAGCCGTCAGGATTCTAGAGGATTTTAAAGGGTTCCAGTTCAGTTTTTCAAGCCTAATTATAGCACTATAAATATTTTCAAATTTCCACGTAACTAGCATAGTTGAAGATCAGCAAAAATGAAACCAAGAGGGAAGGGCGGGGGGAGAAGAACCCACCTTTTTGCACTTTCCCAGGTGAGAAGTTACTTCAGATCAGATTTTAAAACATTTGTGAGCAATACAGGAAAGGCAGTAACATCACAGTAACGTGTTACCAGTGAGCAGGAGAAACATTCTTTCATGTGTTTAACTTTGCCACCTCCACCATGTCTGCAGTGATGGTTGCTATGATACGTGTGCCCACACGTTTGGTGAGATTTGCACAACGTCAACAAAACCCAAAACCTTTTTATGCACTATAGTTGGCAGGCAAGTCTTATTTAAAGAGTCAAATATTGGGGCTGACTGTAATTGCCTGTCCCAAAAAAAGGACTCCTGAAGTCTGTGCTCCAGTACCCTCATACATGATGAACATTTAAAAAAATAGTTTCCATATAAGTAAGAACAAGCATTGCACCATTTAAATGTTAACAAATACTTTCCATACTTCACATGCAAGTGGAAAAGTCACACCATACCTTGCTGTCCTCGCCTTCAAACACAGATTGGTGGACGTTACAAGCGAAGAGAGAGTTTGGGAGATCATTGAAATCAGTTATTTCATGAAAATCTTCCTCTGCAAAACATCTCTTTATATCCTTGTCTCGGTCTATAGAGTAGAGTAGGAAAAGTCCCCCATCCTCCAGAATACAGCCATAGTGACCAGGGCCTCGCATTCCAAGGAAATACGATTCTCCCCTCATTCCTAATGGCATGGAGAAAAGATGATGGTTAGTCTATAAAGCTTTTAAACCATACACACAAGTCTCTCCAGGAATTCTTAGTCCTAGAAGAGACTTGAAATCAAGCTCAATCTGAAAGTCACTTTCACTAGACAGCAATGCAATAACGTGCGCTGGAAACCCAGGACACTACCATCAACTTCAATGAGGTTCAAATCAAAGTTTTAGGACCATGTCTGCATTATAAAATCATAGAGGTACAGGTTCAGAAGGGACTTCAAGAGGTCATCTAGTCCAACCCCACACACTGAGACAGGACCAAGTATTCCTAGGCCATCCCTGACAGGTGTTTGTCTAACCTGTTCTTAAATACCTCCAATGATGGGGATTCCACAGCTTCCCTAGTTAAGTACTGGAATTGGTTAACAATCATTGTACTGTAGTTAGAAAGATTTTCTTAACATCTATCCGAAATCTCCCTTGCTGCAGATTAAGTCCATTACTTCTTGTCCTACTTTCACTGGACATGGAGAACAATCCAACACTGTCCTCTTTAAGTGAGCTATGCCAAATGTTACCAGGTTCCCCTCTCAATCTTCTGTTCTCAAGACTAAACATGCCCAGTTTTTTTAAGCTTTACTCAAAGGTCAGGTTTTCTAAACCTATTATTTTTGTTGCTTTCCTCTGGATTCTCTCTAATTTGTCCACATCTTTCCTGGAGTGTGATGCCCACTTCTCCAATTTATCAAGATCATTTTCAATTCTAACCCTGTCCTCCAAAGAGCTTGCAATCCCACCCAGCTTGGTGTCATCTGCAAATTTTATAGACACACTCTGCACTCTATTATCCAAGTCATTAATGAAAATATTGACTAGCAGCCTAAAAGAGGCCTAACTATGTGTCAAAACATGATACAATTCTAGGACATGTCCATAAGTTTGGCATAGTATTTACAATATTATCATAGCACCTGGCAGCCCTGGTCATGGACCAGGACCCCACTGTGCTGGGTACTGTACAAACCCAGAACAAAATGATGGTCCGTGCCCCAAGGAGCTTACAATCTCAGTACAACAAAAGAGACAGATGGATACAGAGAGATTGATAGAGTACAAGGAAGCAATAAGCAGCATGATAAGCTGTGATCTCCGCACACCAGCAGTCTAACTACTGTCAAATTTTTTGTAGGCATCATGGCAAAGGGGATTTTGGAGGAAGGATTTGAAGGAGAATAGTGAAGTAGCTTTCTGGTTGTTTACAAGGAACTCCTTCAAAGCATGAGGGGCAACAAGGGAGAAAGCACAAAGGTGCTTGTTTGAAAATTTAACCAGTGGGAGACAGAGGCTGGTCATCAGCTGATCTGAGGCGAGGAGTCAACCTCTGGATACAGAATGAGAGATGAGAATACGCCACAAAGGGCCTTGAAAGTAAAGACATGGTTAAGGTCCCCTCCCCTCTACAAAAAACAAATGATCTTGTCACTGGGTCAAGGGATAACTTTGCTGTAAGTGGGAACCCAATGATGGTGCATTGTAGTCTGGACTCCAGCTAGACAGAGGCAAAACTTTAGTGCATTAGTCCATTACAAAGTGTCTCTCTTGCTCACTCTCACACCTTCAAAAGAGAGGTTTGCAAACCAACATTTTTCAAAATTGATTTAAAAATGAAAGTTCTTTAAGGATGGTTCCAAATTTCAGATCAAAGTAAAAAAGGTAAAGCTCCTCAAAAAAACTGATATTATAGAAAGATTGAAAAGAGAGCAGTGCATATAGCTAAGACAACGCCCTGTTATTCTACTATTTCCATACAGAATAAACTGCAGCCGAATTTAAGGTTTGCTGTAGAATATATGTCCTGTTGTTCTAAGCTCATTAACACTTTCTTTAAAGGAGTTTTAATGAACATAGGCGGGGAGGGAAATAGACTTGAGAACAGGGCTTTGGATCAGTCCCCAAGAGGAGACATGCAGATGAATAATGATTAGAAGCTCCAGATGACTGAAGACAATTAACTATATGCATGTGTTGTAGGAGAAATTATCTTTTCTGAAAAGAAGTGGTTAGAGGGCTACATGTACAGAGTTTGTTCAGATGTTTTTGATTTGCCTTGTTCTCTTGCATACTACTTGCTGTTCCTTGTTAACATTTGTAAATACTGATACAACTAGAACTCTTAGGGCTAAATTCTGCCCAGGCTTATACTGTGTGCAACTCCACTGGGATATTTAGAAACAAATCTCAATGAGGAACATGAACCCTTCAGGCCCAATCTGCCATAACTATACCCCAGTATAACCCCACTGGCTTCATAGGCTTGCACAGCAGACAGCTCTCTTACATCAAAGAGATAGCAAAAGAGGTTATCGGTGGGAGCAGATGACTAAAAGAAAGCCTTCATGAAGAAGAATCTAAAGTCGCCCCCAAAGGTCTATCATTTTCCCTGCTGCAAAGAAAGACTCTTGCCGCAGGGAGCTGCTGGCCCTTTTCTCTGCAGCAGAAAGAGTCTCCAGGAGTGGGGAAGCAACAGGACATTAGACTGCTAAAAATAGCACTGTGGAAAGGGAGGCGCTGCTTGGGTCAGTAGAGAGGCGTGTAGGGTACATACCCACAAGGTTCATGAGTGTCTTTACTTACCGAACCATCTATGCTGCTATTTGTACCTGTGCTACTGGGGAGGGGTGTATATTATACGTTCTCTATGCACAAAAGGAGCATGCAATGTAGATGTATCTTCAGTGTAAAACTCTAGGGGCCCAAGCTAATTACTGTACCAGGCCACTGGATATTGACACAGGCAGCTCTGGAACACTGGGGGTCAGAGAGTCATACTTTGTGATGTTTCTACTGAGTGGTACCCAGGGGTACCAAAACCTGGTGTATTGACCACCAGTGGTCAACATAACCTTTGCCAATGGTCTGTGGAGAGCTAGCTGGTCACAAGGTCTTGGCTCCCCTTTGTTTACAGGTGCTAAATTACATTAAAAGGCAGCTAAAAATAGATTAAATACTTTCCTAGTATTACTGTTCCATGCAAGCAATTGCTATGGTTTCCCCGGGGATGTTATGTGAGGGGAGGTGGCCCTGCAAGGGAGCAAAGAAATCAAATGTAATTATAGCAGGGTGTCAGATCCTAAGCCCCTCTTCTACTGAGTCATCCTGATGTCAGGTATTTGAACCATGCATAGGGAGGTGCAGAGATATTTTTTCTGAATCACTCTAAGGGTAGAGCAGGTGTGTCCAATTAGCTCCAAGTTCGGTGGGTCTCTCAAGCAGAAGGAACAACAGGCAGAGATAGAGGTCCTGCAAGGAAATCTAAAGGGCAGCCAAGCTTGGGGAGAAAGCTGGTGTTTGTTTTTTGTGCTAATTAAAGTTAGCAATAAAAGCAAACCCTCTGAAGGGGATTATTGTTATATCAGGTACCTTCAGGTGATGGTGTTACTCAGTCTTCCAAGTTCTTTTTCTCTGTTTGCGAGACAATGTTCAGTCTTCGGAAGATGTGTGCTGCTGTTAGTTCTGTTATGCAAGGTTCTATGCAGAGGTTGCTGTATGAGCTGCAGGAGAGTTTGCGCTCTGCCTTGGCCTACGATTGGAGTAAATTCTTAAGGCAGAGCTGGTCTCTGGGAACTGGGGGTCAGTGTTGGGTTGAGATTCCTGAGAAGGGATTGTCCTGCATGTTCTGTAACCACCTCCGTTCCAGGACTGGTGCTATAGATAAAACAAGGTACACTTAAAATATATCCAGATTCCAAGCCATTGATTTCTTCTCCACTAAGAAGCCAGCCAGCAAGGCTCTGATATCAGCTGCCATTAGGCAGAGGGATAACAGTATCCTTGGTCCAAGACAGGGTGGGAAGCGCACCTACACACAGTAGTCTTCCCACAAACACATGGATATCCTTAACGATTGTATGCAATGTTGCTGTAAAGCTCTGTGTCTGCTCGAAAGCTTGTCTCTCTCAACACCAGAAGTTGGTCCAATAAAAGATACTACCTCATCCACCTTGTCTATCTAATATCTTTGATGACTGTGTAACCCAGGCCTGCTTGGTGTGGCACTCTGTCCCCCTCTAGTGATGCCTAGGCCAGCTAGAGATTGATGAGGCTGCTACAACCCTGGCTAACAAACCAATATATTTTGGCTCGTGCATTAAGCTCCAGAGGTCCCAGGTTTGATCCCAGCCACCGCCAACAAGGGTGTGTCGGCATTAGAAGTGGGGGCTCCTCTGGGATATCGACTAGGAAGTCTCTGAAACATTATCAGGGCTAAATAAAAGTCCTTAGGAAACCGGGATTTGCATGTCATCTGATTGGCTAATAGATACATATGGACTCAGCTGTAGCCAATTAGGATGCGCATATGTGATTTGATTTGTCAACTCTTGTTCCAAATCTAAGTTTTCTTGGCCTTGGTGTAAACAATAGAAGAATTTGCTAACTCTTCCAATGACTTCTCAGCCATTCACAAATTGAGATTTTCTCATCTATGTAACGCTAGGAATAATGTCATGATGCTGGACTATGTTCATAACAAAAAGATTTTGTGGTTATCAAACATCTGTTTTGTTTTAGTATTTACTCACCCATTAAATCCATTTATCACCTAAGACAAACCTGTGCCAGAAACATTTGCTTGCCAATAATTCTGTCAAAGCATTTAATAATAATACCAGCTCATGGTGTCGTCAGAAACCTCCCTCCCCCCGAAAAAAAAGATAATTAATTCCTTATAAATCACTGCAGTCCATCTCACTGGTTATTTTTAAGCAGGTATATATTGGTATAATACAGTAACTGGGCCACATTCTGATTTACACTAAGGCCCCATTCTACTGCTTCTGGCAAAACTTATTTACCACCACTTCACACAGCTCTGAAAATGTAAAGGAGACCTGTAAGGCTGCTGGCCTGTCTCCCCAAGCCCATGAAGGACTCACCTAGAATCTTTCAGGCTATTCCTCTGGGCCAGCCTTTTATTCTTCAAACACAAGACTTAGGCAAAACACCAAAACAAAGCTGTTCTTCA